ACGAGGCGGACGAGGAGGAGGAGGAGGCGGAGGAGGAGGAGGCAGAGGAGTGGCTGGAGCGGCAGTACCAGTGGCAACAGCAGCATTAAAGAAAGGTGTTGCAAGACCTAGAATTTGAGGAAGCTTACGCTCCACTCCTTCTGTTCAGCCTACACGAGGTCTAATGTGAAACACTCTCTGGAGATCGATCTGCGTGTTGCAGCAATGTCCAGGAGTCCAGATCGCTTTGAGTGGTCACACACTAAGCAAGCATCTTGTCAAAGAGGGTCGCTTCCTGCACTTTCTCACTTACACGTTGTTAAGAGACGCGCACATGCACATGCGCACACACACACACAAACAGAGACAGCGACACACACACACACACACACCCCAACTCGAGTAACACCAGCTCAAGTGCAGGAAAAGACAACTCCTGCACCCTGGCACTTGAGTGCTGCGCCAAACCATGGATGCGAAGCAATCTCCCAGGTCAATACACCCCGAAGAGTCCTCTGGATTGTCGCGCAGAGCAGCTGCAGCAGTTTTGATTTTGTCCCAGATTTCACCCACAGTGGACTCCCGGAATGCATCGTACCTTGCACTGAGATGGCTCTTCGCAAGTGAAGCCAACATCCATCCTACAACACTAACAACGGCTGCAGACTCCTTGCGAACAAAGCCACACCTCTCCAAAGCCGTGCACGCCGCACAGCGAGGGAGCAAGTTCAGAGGGCAGGCATGCCTACACGAGAAGACATGAGACCACTGAGCTCTGAAATGCGGGGCCGCGCCCTCTCCCTCGCAGCAACCCCGATCCGCACCGCCGCACCTTCCCATCGAAGAGCCCGGCCGACGGGATCCATGGTTCCGGCTCCATGCAGCAGTAGCGCTGGTTGTTCCCAGAGCCTTTCTGCTGGCAATCTGAAAATCGTCCCGGTGTCCCGGTCCCGGTCTTGAAACGTCGGCAAAAACCCTAGCTGAGCCTGCATAGCCGGAGTTGTCACATGCAGCCAGGCAAGCACTGCAGGCTGCTTTGGCATGAACCAGGCACTGGTTCGAAGGGTTCTCCGTGAAGCTGGAGTAAACGTAGTAGTCCAGAGGCATGTCCTTCCAAAAGCCCAGCCTCTCGGCACCAAACCAAACTTGATACCGAACTTGCGAGAATCCCTTTGCAAGCAAAGCCTTATCTTTCAAAAGCATACCAGACCTACCCTCATGGCAGCAGTCCCGCCCCCAGCTGCCCTGCGCCAAAGCTTGCCCGATCCACGCAACCAATGCAAAAATCTGGCTGTTGCCCCACCAGACTCCTGACAGAGACACTGAAGCAATCATGACAGCCACGACAACACTTAACTAAAGCAAGAACGAACGGTGACAAGAACGACAACCTAGAATTACCGTACTCAGAACGTTAACAATACTGCAAACAACCCCCGAACACTCGTACGAACAGTCCTGATGTACAGGGTTTACTCGTGACTCAGGATCCGAGCAAATTAGGGATGTTCCTCGTGCGAACCCGAAAGAAGGCATGCTTGGGAAGCCACAGGCTACCGGGCGGCTACCGGGAATACTGACCATTGCCAGGCCCAGCGACGACTTCAATTATGTGCCGATCTGCCCAGGCTAGCAAGCGCATGCGGAGCATGAATCGGAAGTCAAGTTGCTGCACGGCAAGTCCAAACCACGAAAATGCGTTCCCCGTCTCCTGAGCCCCACGGGCCACTACCAATGGCCTGCACTGTCTTCTTCAGGACGGCCTGGCCACCGCTGGGGCTCCGGGCTGGATGCGGGGAGCGCATGAACAGCTGCCGGAACTCGCTGGCACAAACCCCCTTTGTCACCGTTTGTCTGAACGAGCTGTGACACACAGGTTTAGGTGACGGCCTGGACATCCGGATGCCAGGCGTCCAGAGCCACGGCATTGTACCAGGCTTTCACCTCCAGACATGAAGGGTCACAGATTGAAGCTTCATCCCTGTGAATGTTCTGTCCATAGTGTATCGAACCTTGGGAAGGATTTGAATACTGGCTCAAAAGCCATCGCAGTTGTAGAGTCTTCTTTTATCGACACCATGACATATCTGCACCAAGAGAATGGTCGCGTGTTCTACCAGTCTTCTTCTGCCCGCCGGTTAGGCTGGAAGACAACAGGAGTGCCTGAAGGAAATCTGGGCGGGTCGTCCGGGCACCGCTCCCGCTTCGTTGAATGCAGTTTCTGCAGGCGCACCAAGGGCACCTGCCTGGGCTTCAAAGCCGTACTCGCCGGTCGTCTCAAACTGAATCGGATTTTGGTTCTTCCTGCCAGAACACCAAGGCTGCTTGTGTTTTGCATGAGCCTTGAGTCGAAGCTCCCCAACTCTTCGAAGCAAGCTGCAGCATCTGCAAATCAAAAGCCTCCACTATTCGGCTTAGGAGGTTGGCATGTGCGGACGTGCATTTTACAGTGGCGACTGGCATTGCCCATGCTCGTGTTATCCGACAGTCCTGGCCGACGGCACATCCTGCGCTAAGCCCGACTCCTGGTTGATGCTCTGGAAGCCTGCCAACCGGATGGTCGAGAATGAGCGAATTTCCGGCTTGAGTCGTGCTTCGGCCATGCTGTGAAGCCGGGATAGCAGCTTACCGATTGCCTGCACTCCAACTGTTCCTGCACTCTTCGGCCATGCCGCCTACGGGGATCAGAGACAAGCGCCTCGCAAATGCCGTGAGGACCATGCGAATTTGAAGTTCGTTCTACATCTTCTGGCGCCGACAAGTCTCCGCACTGTAACACAAGCACCGCGCAGCCGGCTGCCCTGCCTAAGAAGGGGCTCGTCTTGCCGATTTTTGTCTTCATGCCGCCCACCTGTGGTCCATGTGGAGAGTACGCAGTGGTCTTCTAGCTGCGAGAATATTGCTGTTCTTCAACTGCGATAATATGAGTTTGCGACAGCTCTCGAAAATGCTGCTACTACTGGCACTACTCACTCTCGCCTTAACTTGCATCTTGTGTCTCAGAACGCGTGAGGATTCATCTGCGAGAGTTGAAGTTCGTGTCACAACCTGATGTCGGTTTCTTGCGTGTAGGATCTCAACCCAAGAAACTGGCGTTCTTAAACCCACGCAAATCTCATGTTTATCGTCCCTGACGTGGCTGCTATAAGTGATATCTGGCTGTTACGAGGTTTCATTGTCAGTTTTATGGTCATCATCGTACTCGTTGTCATGAGCCAGGCGATGTTGCTGATGATGAGCACCTGTGAAAGTGTATTTCGGAGGCTGGTGGCCAGCATCACGGCCGGTATCCATGCAAACTTCCCCAACCGGCAACCAGCTGAACAATGGCACCTCGATATCAACCAGGTCGGAGGTCAGAGGCACATCCAGGTTCACATCCGGCTTTCCTGCTAAGCAAAATCTTGGGGCTTTGGGGGGCTGCAAGAGAGCCTCTGGACTTGCCAGGCTATGCGCTTGGATCGAGGGAAACCTGGGCTCGCAATCCACGGGCCTTGGTTGAAATTCTCCGGCCCGATGTCCCGGGACGTGCCATCTAAGCCGCCGAAGATCCTGCTCGATGCTCGAGGCAACCGGACCGAAGCCAAAGCCGATGAAGTTTACGGTTTAGGGTTTAGGTGCCACCTCCGTGCGCCGATGATGTACGCAGGCACCAGGAGAGAACGGCCCTCGCTGGCCAGTGGCGAGGCCTCCGGGAACTAAGACTCCAAAAACCCTTTTAAAAAGCCTCACAGCTGGGAACATTCTCTTCCTTTGGACGGAAGCTGCTGGCCGTTGTCCAAAACCTCAGGCCTTTGAATTTCAAGAACGCTTCATCCTTGGACTTCAAAGTATACGCGGCTCTGACAAGGGGCTCACAAGGAATCTGCATATCCCCTCGTGTCGCCATCCGAATGTCTTTCGAACGCATGGAGTTTTTTGTAGATGAGATGTACGCGACAGCTTATGTTCACTACTGCCAGGCTACTCGTCCGTGCTCATATCTCGTGTGTCGTCCTGCGTCGAAAGTATGCCTTGAGCGCACAAGCAACCGGAAGTTGCGGCGCCTTCTCGGACAAGAAGAAGCTGAGAATCTGGGCGAGCGGCTTCGACGAAAGCTTGAAGGATGGCGGGAAAAGGGATCGAAATTTTAGTACTGGCATGAAGCAGGTAACTGCAGTAGCCGCAGCAGTGGAGGTAAATGTCGACACACTGCTGGCAGTGCTGGCCACGCTGGCGACAAAACCGTTGAAACTTCACAGAACAACCGGCCATTCTCAAGGAACAGTGGACCAGCTAAATCTGCGGTGACGGCTGGCTTCGAATGCTCTACAAACTGAAGTGCGCGACGCAGAGTGCACAGGGAGCAGCTGAGAGACAGGCCATCACTTCCTGGGTGTGGCACTAGGGCATTGACTGTGAACGTGAAGCTTCAAGTGCGTGGATACCCTCAACACAGCTGCGATCCACACGGACGGTCATGACACTCGATCTATCTACATAAAACCATGCAATGTCTTGATCCAACAGCCGCTGATCGCTGATGCAAGACCAGATGCTGGCATGGTGGTCATCAGCCTCTCATCTTGTCCTCCGTCGATGCTGCCACATCCTGCAAGACTCCAGCACCGAACTCATATGTAAGCCTAAGCATCGAAGACAACAAGCTACGCCACTTGCCAACATCCAAGGCAAGGCATGGTTGGTGGCGGCAATGAACGGTGTTTGCACCCTTGAGCTCTAAATCTCTTCAAGTTCGGCTAACATCGCGGGCACCAGCTAGTGAATTTTTAAAGTTTATGATGTTATCTGCACACTGTACAATGGTGACCAGTTTGGCCGGGAACTTTGACGAGGGAAGGCACCTTCCTCAAGTGCCACATGAGCTGTCCAATCGACATTCAGTCGAAAAACAACAAAAAGGCAACAGGATGAGTTCGGTCATCTATACGTCAGAGGAATCATCGGAGAAGAACTTGTGCGTCCTGGACGTCCTAACCATCCGCTTAGGCATTGATGGCTTGACCTTGGACTTCGAGCTCACCTGAGCTGCTCTTGCTCGGACCGCTCTCCTGTACTTGAAGAGTGACCTCTGCTTCCTGGCATTTGCAACCTTGTCTGCTCGAGCCCTTCTGGCAACAGCACGTTGGGTGCCATTCCTGGCCACCTCTCTGCGGTCATCTTTCGCGAAGTGCACTTCGCATGTGTCGTCGGTCTTTCTCCTCTGCCGCCGTTCCGCAACCCGACGGGCATTCATGTATTCTGGGCTTCTTTGGACATGGGCCTTCAACAGTTGAAAGGCAGTTACCAGCTGTCCTTCGGTGAGCGAGCTGTCGTGGGGCACCACAGTCGCCGAGATGACTCCGGTTCTACCTTTTTTCTGCACGTCCAGGTAAAACCAAAAGCCGGCCGGACTCAGCTGCTCATCCAGGATGCGCTCCAACTGCTCCTTCATGGACTGAATCTTCGAACCCTTTCGGCCGATGAAGTCAGCAATGGCCCGATCAGTCGGCAGTGACCCGAGAGTGGCAAATGCTGCACCCGGTGCATGTGTGGGGAGGCCGTCGTCGACGCGAAGAGTGTGCTGAACTTTGTTGTAGACAACACTGCGCGGGATGCTGTGCTTGAGCTGAGCAAGGGCGGTTCGAATCTGATCTTCTCCGAACGAGGTCTCGGCGGCTTCCACGGTCGCTTCCAAAACGAACCGTCGCACATCGAGCCAAAAGCGGAAGTAGCCCTTATCCAGCTCTTGGCAAAGGCGGTCCTGGAGTGTCTTCCACAGCTCTTGGATCCTCTGGCCCCCTTTGCCGATGAGAGCGGCCTCAGCAACGCGGCACGGCAGTCCGGCCAACGCCACCGTCACCTGCCGCCGTTTCCGTTGCTGCTTGGGCATTGGGGCCGTTGGGGCCGGGGCCTCTGCAGGCTTTGCCTTTGCAGGCTCAGCCTCTGCAGCGAAGGTGAAGGTGCTTTTGGTCTCCGCCAGGAGCTCCTCGGCCTCCGTGGCGTCGGCAAGACGCACCTTTCCACAGAGAGGGTTCTCGAGAGCCTTGCTGAAGGCGGCCAAGGGATCCGGCCCGGACTCGGTGACCATCTTCAGCATGCGTGAGGAGAAGCCGGACATTAGCACAACTCCTGCATCCGTGGCCAAAGCTGGTGCACCAGAAGTGGTTCGGAGATTCCAGAACACGAGCTCAGGCATGGTCCGGCCGGTCCGCCGATAGTCCTGCTGAATCTGCCGCAGCACTGTGGTGTTGCCACCGGCATTGGCGAACTGCATGTCAGAGAAGACCAGGATTTTCTTGGGCGGTTGGGGCATGTCCTCAAAGAGCTTGAAAACTCGGTGAAAGTTGGTGCTCCCGCCCCAGTCCAGCCGCCTGATGAACTCCACCAACTGGCACAGGTCCGAAGTGTCGGGCAATTTGACCATGGACGGTCGCTCGTGGAACGTGATGACTTGACGTGCCAGGGGCCCGGAAGAAAGCTCCGCCACTAGCAAGGAAAGTGCGATGGCCACGTCCATGCAGCTGATGTTTGGGGCGGCCTCGCAGGACATAGAGCCCGACACGTCGCACACGGCGATGCAATCCTGCAGTTGGCCAGCTTCGCGGATTCGCTCCACCATGGCCCGCCATTGTCCTTGCGCCAAGGCCTTGTCATCGGCCCGTTGCACACGCCTCAAGATCTCGTGTGGCTGCAAAGCTCCGGTGTTCACCCGGACCTTTCCGCCCTCGACCTTGTCCATGAACTCCCTGAACCTGACGGGGTCGTGCTTCTCGAAGCTCTTGGCATGCTTGGTCAGGCAAGCCGCCGGAAGCGACTTGTACCGGATCTCAGCCCATCGATGCTGGCAGATCAACCTCTCCGGGAGCTTCATGTACTCGGTGAGCTCAGAGAGCCGCTTCCGAAGCAAATCGCGAGCTCTGTAGGCATACTGACGCTCACTGCAGCCTGCAAACTCTGGCAAGGTCGCCGGGAAGAGCCAACGAGCAATACCCTCGCAAAGCAGGGTCCGGCGATCGAAGGAATGGTACAGCAGAGGGCACCACTTCGCGCAAAGGCTCACCTTCTGACCCCGGCGCATGGCCGCGAGGTCCATGCGCAGCTGCTCTGCAAAGAGTCGTGCGATGCGTTCGAAGAGCGATCGGTAGGCCGGATCACTGTCGTAGCGCTTCCTCGCAGGCTTCCATGCTAAGCAGCAATAGATTATGCCAGCGGAGATCCCGGAACAGTGAAAGACCATATCAACAGCATGCCATTAACAGCAGACAGTCGCAACCACTGGCACATGCGAAAACACAGATCGCCAAAAAGTTGCCATCTTCTCCAGCATTTACGCCATGTTACCCTCCGTGACGAACACTGCGACCAGGACGACCACGACGACAAGGACGACAACGACCCGGACCAGGCGACCAGAAGAGACAGCCAGGAGACCAGGAGGACAGCACAAGGAGACCAACAGGACACAGCCAAAATGCTTTCCCCCAAGTACTGGCATGCTCAGAACCACACCGGGATGCCTTCACCCAAGTACTGGCGGGATTCAGAAACGTTCGAGAACACAACGGAATCGCTTTCCCCCAAGAACTGGCGGGTCCAGGACCAGTGCGAAACTGCTTTCCCCGAAGTACTACTTGTACTGGTTCGCTTCCGCATGCGGATCCCGAAAAACAGCCGGATTCGTCTTCCCCTAGTACTGCTGCGATGCAAGGTTTTCGAGAGTCCTTGATGGTGCACGTGATATTTTTTAGTTACGATGAATCCTGGCCCCGGAGCACGCACCTCAAGCGGATACTCCACAAATTAGAGGACGAATGAGAAAAGCACGCACAGCACCGCAGTGGGAAACGCGCGTCCGATGCATCCATGATGTGTAGCTAGTAGCGACGCGGGGAGCAGATTCGCAACATTTGCTGAAAGTGATGAGACGCTAGGAATCATTTTTTAGCCCCGTGCGCCGCGTGGACACAACAGTCAAGCCTCTTAGCCTGATGAACACAACAACGCCATACTCTAAAGTCCTTGCAGTCTTGCTTCCGTGTACGAATCCCCCTTCCCCTTGAACAGACCGCAAGGAGGGGGTCGCGGCAGGGTCGTTGCAATCATGCTGTTTGCGCCTTGAACAGCGGTCCCGAGAGAG